TCTCCTTACCAATAGCTCTATTCACTGCTTGCTCCGGGCTGGCCACATAAAACCCGAACAGACCAGTGTCTTTATAACACGTATTAAAGGCGGTGAATGAATCTGCCAATCAAAAATTTTCATTCGAACAAGATTTCTTGCGATCACATTTTTTTCAATGGCGAGTAAAAAATACTCCACAAAATACCAATACCGCACAGAGAAGAAATCACAAATCGGAAAAAAAATGTGCCAATCACAAATTTGGCAAAATCCAAAATCCAGAGCGTAAAATTTAACAAAAAAATGGCCAAGACCGCATATAGAAAAAAACACTCGACAAAGGTGTAGTAAATTTTCCACGAATTGATACAATCTAGTGAACGCAAACACGACCTCAGCTACACCAATTTTCCCGCAAGTCGCAAACCCTGAGTGATAATCAGCATTCAATCCATTAACCGCAAAATATTATCTTTTTCGGCGTGAACCATCACTGCACAAGAGGCTGCTACGTTCAGGTGATTTTTCCAAACAATAACACTGGAGTTTCACCACCCTAGTGATATGAAAACACTAGTGTAAATATATTTTACCACTACTACAGTCCGCGAATATCGCGTTTTTCACCCAGTTTTACGCCACTTCACATAAAACGGGTGAAACTCCACTGTGGTAAATATCAAAAACTCGTTTCCTATAATATCCCTGAAGTTTCACCCGTGATATAAAAAATATATTCCACGACTACTGCTTAGCGCCAATATCGGTTTTTTTTCCACAGAGAATTGCCCCGGGTGACGCTCAATCCATAAATATGCATACGTACAGTCCCATCCAGTAGAACTCCACCCGTTTAACGTGAAATGGCGTAGTACTCCTATACGCATTTGCGGCGAATAAGTACTCATATCATACTCTAATACAGCGATGTAAACTATAGCCCCTATATCCTTCCACAACCGATATCACAATTGTGAAATATGTTTTTCACTATAGTGTTTTTCATATCACTAGGGTGAAACTTCAGCAGTTTCTTGCATGCAGTCATAACCACCTCGAATATCTCAAAAATTGTGCAACATGTCCCTCTCTACAGCTGCTATACCCAGTTCATCCCACCACAAAGTAGTAATAATAATAAAAAATCACTAATCCGAAAATTATCAAAATTTCATTACCCTATTATATATCACAAAACACAATATCCATAGTCACAACCGTCTCCCTGAATTCTTACCAATCCATGTCGAACTTCCTTCCTCACTAGGCGCTCTCGCAACAGCCTGTATCGACGAGTTCGCCGACAGCGTAGGCGGTATCAACCCTATCATCACCAACATCAACAACAAAATTAACTCCATTTTTACCTTGAAACGCCGAGTTATATCCCCCCACTATTTGCTGCATTAGCATGAATGTGATACAATCGGGACTAGTCCAAGGCACGCCTTCAAAAGCTACTGCCACGTGACCAGCTGCTCCCAACGCATCCGTCCTAATATATACCATTACACTTATACACAATAATGTAGTTTCACCCTAGTGTTATGAAAACATATTTTACGACTACTACAGGCCGCAAATATCGCGTTTTTCACCCAGTACTACGCCACTTCACGTAAAACGGGTGAAACTCCAATGAGGTCAAACACATGCGAAAATTCCGAGGGAATTCTCATTGGTTTCCGTACACTTCTACCCGAATTCGTATATATACACCCGTGTAGGGAAATATGCTCATCGTCAACTACATGTGTCGCTCACAATATAGAAATTCTGAGAAAATTTTGGGAAATTCCCATTCTACCCGAAGTCGCAATATGAACTCCTATAAATAGTAAGGAAACTCCTGAGCTCAGCTGAGGAAAGCGAACATATATTCCTCCAACACTGTATAGGAAACTCCTGAGCTCAGGTGAGGAAAGCGAACATATATTCCTCCAACACTGTATAGGAAACTCCTGAGCTCAGCTGAGGAAAGCGAACATATATTCCTCCAACACTGTATAGGAAACTCCTGAGCTCAGCTGAGGAAAGCGAACACACTTGTAGTACGTCGAGAGCAGCTCCGAAGATACAAAATGTGGCTTCTGGATGATACGACGGGGACTTGAAGACTTCGGCAAATTACCAAATTTTTCCGCAGCCTGATAAAAAAAGCAATTCTTATTATTGGAGTTTCACCCGTGATATGAAAAACACTAGTGAAAAATATATTCCACGACTTCCACGAAGTATCCACTTCACGTAAAACGGGTGAAACTCCATTTTATTCTTACCACTACTACATCTGATCCTCGCTAAACCTTCATCTCGAAACACTACGTCAGCCCAAAATACAAAATTCGTGAAAATTTTCAGGAAAAAATTTTGCAACACATATTTTTTTTGCAAATACACCCCTCACTCACACATTTAACAATGTCTTCGTGCTCCACCGGCCCGGCCGCCGCAACCACCATCCTGTCAGCTTTGTAGTTATCAGAAATGTAATCAACCAAATTGTCACGTTGTATCGACCTTATATTCTCCACAGGGCCAAGGATTGTGTATCTACTCAAGGTCAATCACAGTTTATGCAACCCGCCCAGCGTCAATTATTTTGACCCTTACTACCCTAGAGGGTCCTCACGAAAACACGCTATATGCAACTGGTCATAAATAACCTCTTCCAGCGACTTATTCACTTCTTCCATTTCTCGCAGAATAACACCTCTTTCCTGAAAATGAAAATTTCCGCGAAATTCTACGCACTAATCCATTCTTATAAAATTAACAACTACATTAATAAGTATTATATAACAACATGCATCACATTAACAACTGCTATTTCACATGCAAACTCCCTTTCTACTATCAGAAAAAGAACTACTTTACATGAAAGCCATAAAATATCAACCGGCTGGATCTAAATCCTCACACACGAAACCCCCAGGCATGGATTTACTCTTGCTGGCCCTACCTCCTCAATAGCCCTTCGTTCAAGCTTAGAATGTTGAAGTATATCCGATAGTATGTCGAGGCCTTGACCAACGCACTCGCGACGTGTCTTTGCATAGTATCTGTGGAGAGTATTAGTTAAACTTGATATCAAATTTAATGTGATAATAATGAGATTAACCGTAAAAGGAGGGTGATAAGGTCTAAGTGACCAACCGAAATTAGAAACCGGCGGTTAGAAATTCACAACTTTATATCAGCATCAATACCACACCACAGTGAAATACACGAACTTGTGAGGGTATTACACTGTTTGTTCTCGAGAAGTATAGGCATTCAGATGAGCTCCAATATCTTCAACTTCTCTCTCTAGCTGAATTCTCGATCTCCGCTGCGTTCCTTTGAAAGCTAGATGCTCTAGAAAATGGGCCGTGCCTAAATCGGGCCAGAGTTGAATCTTACACTGATCGACCTAAGATATTTTTCAACTTACCATTGGTTTCTTTCGTCTCATATCGCGAGCCCGCGTCAATCCAAACCCCAACAGTGGCAGATTCCGTGAAGGTGTGCTGAGTAGCAACACGCAGCCCATTGGGTAGGGTGGTCACCTACCACACAAACTGATACAAAAACCGTAAAATCCAAATTCAAAATTACCTTAGTTGGTGGGGCGTTGAAAAGAGCACCTCCCAAACTAGCTGACATATTGCTTATCATACGCCTATTGAGGAAGCCCCTCCGCCCTGTGCTCGCTAGAGCTGCTGCTGTTGGATACAAAGCCAAACTGTGGGAGAGATAAGGAACACTTTTTTGTACCAACATGTTGGTGACAATGAAAAACTAAAGAGGAAAACACTCCCATTTTCACCACCCTAGTAGTGTTGGAATATAACTGTGCTTTCCTGAGCTGAATTTATAAAAGGGAGAGGGGGGAAGTTTGCAAAAAAAACAATAAAAAAATCAAAAAATTTCCTGAAAAATTTCATGCTATCGTAGTTGTCCATGTGCAGATTTTCTCACACTACGGTTTGCACTACCACTACACTGCTGCATTGAGTAGTTATAAGTTACAACTACTATGGTTACATATCTTTATCTCGGATATAAAAGATACAAAATAGGCCCGATTCCGTCACATTTCTCCTTCTCGACTAACACAAGCACTGAGGCAGATGAAAATTCAACTCACCTCGACTGTTAAACAGACGACAGCAATTGTGCTAATGAGAGATTCAGCGCGCTCGCCCGAAAATTTGGACTCTGAACCTGTGCATTTCGTGTGATGTTGTTGCTGCTGGTCCTAACTGTTAGTGTGAGGCTTATTGATACCTTACTTTATCATCTATCACTTGCTGGTGAGCGTGCTGGCTCCTTTTGCCCACCCACTGCCACCTGGTAGTTTCTGACTGTCTGCATCTTGACGTGCAATCCTCAACTGTGTGAGGATGGCTGTCCGATGGCCGCAGATGAAGTCGGCAGGGCGGGACGAGTTGAGTTAACGAGTTTTGGGTGGGAAGCTGCGATAGGGCTCGTGTTTGTACTTGGACTTATCACTTTTGCCGGGTCTATACAGTGCAATCATTGCATTCTCTTAAATAGGGTGAGGACATCACCGAACTCCTCTTGCGATATCTCACGCAATATTAGTATCGCGGTCATCAGAGTAGAACTACAGTATGTATCCTAAACCCTATACTAATAACAACTCGCGATGGACTAGAAAGTCGCTCTCAGTGGGTTGATAAGAGGCCACTGTGTCGAACAACGCTGATAGATCAGCATAAAAGATGTACAGAATTTACACCATGGTCCCACACAAAACTCAGCGTATTACGTATTTGCAGGGCCAACATTGATAATCATTATCAGACTAATCCTACTAAATCTAGCTGCCACGATCAGATGCACTTCGTTTTTCATAAAGAAATCGCAGACGGTTGACAGCTAGACGCCCTCTAGCTGTCTAGTAAAAGCTAGACCATCTACTAAACTGTAAGCTAGCGAAAGCTATAAACTGGTGCGTTGGACGATGGTGATGCGAAGCACAATGGTTCATAAGTCGATTTGTCAGCTTGTTCATTCCCCCTCGAAAGTTTCCCTATAAGGAATGTCTCGTTCAGCATCAACAGACTCGAGCAAAGTCATCGAGGAGATGATCATCCCTGGCGGTTGCTCTGATGCAAGGGCAGTGTTCAACCTAGTCATGACCGCGATTGGTCTCGGTATAATGACACTTCCTCTAGCATTCGCTCGGGCCGGCTGGATAAGTGGCTACATTCTACTCGTTGTCGCCGGCGCCTTCGTCTACTACAACGTAACCCTTCTTTGCGACGGTCTATGCATGAACCCCGAGAACCCCAAGCGCCCCATCTCGTCTTTCGAGGACCTCGGTCGAATTTGTTACGGCAAGGTTGCTACTGTGATTAACTCTGTCACTTTGCATCCTCTCATGTTGAGCGCCTGTGCGGCCTTCCTCATTTTGCTCGCTACTAGCATGTACAGTCTCACCGGAGTGTTGTCGTATAATCTATGGCTTCTCATCGTGACCATTCTCATCATGCCTTTCTCCTGTTTGAAATCCATGAAGGAAATTAGTTTCTTTTCAGCGCTTGGTGTAGCCTCTGTTTTTGCTACTGTCATACTCGTTGTCATTGCCAGTATAGATGAATACGTAGCCGAGACTGTTGACAATGACACGATCACATATCATCTCTCTGGAGGCCCCATACAGCTCATCTCCGTTTTTTGTACATTCCTGCTATCATTCAACGTCAGCATTACCGTCCCCACCATCATAAAGGACGTTCGCCGACCTCAGAGGTTCCGACGACGAGTGGCTTTCATATCGTTCCTATTGGTTGGTGTAGTTTACCTCTGCATAACTACTGTGGGGTATTTGGCCTTTGGTGACTCTATCACCAATTATGACACTATGATCGAGGCTTTCTCCCCTGCTGATCGCGACGATTGGACTATCTATTCCTGGCTCATCAACGTATGTGCAGTGATACTCGTGGCCACGCACTTCTTGGTCATCATGTCCCCGAGTGCTCAGCTCTCCGACCATCTTTTACACGAAAACCTTACCAAAAAGTGGACTAATCGTGTGCTTGCGGAAGTTGTCCGTTGTGCTTTCCGTATCCTCCTTGTGATATTCTGTGCTCTCGTCGCCTTGCTCGTCCCAAGCGTCGACAAGTTGGTGAACCTTTTGAGTGCAGTGTTCGTGGTACTCATTGCGTTGGTGTATCCGACTGTCTATTACTGGAGAATTTTACAGCTCCAAGGTGTTACTCAGAATCGTTGGTTATTGTGGCTTCAACGTGTTTTGGTCGGTATTGCTTTCATCGCCCTCGTCTTCGGCACCTACATGGCTGTAAAAGACTTTTTCTAGTAGCAGAAAAATGATATCATGACCTGCCCTGTTGTTTGTGGAACTATGTACGATCATTTTTATCATATTATCGTATCGTGACTAGTAACCTGTTAGTGCCCTGGGTTGGCGTTAGCATCTTACCCTACCAGAGAACTCGTATGAGATTCTCTATCAGTGGTCTATCGAGCAGATGAGTGTCTCTTGTATCGATCACATAGTAATTTGCTTATGTTGCTTGCGCCCTGGGTTGGCGGTAGCATTCCTATATTATCGAAATTTGTGTTTTTTTGCGGTTTTTCCATCAGAAATGGCCGACTGGGGAGTCAGTAACCCGTACGTGATGGACATCGCTGTTCGACGTGTGTAGTGTTTATACCAACATCGTCGCAAGAATGCTAACTATGCTGTCTTATTTCATCATTCCGTTGTGTGTTATGATGCCGCTTGTGAAATCTCGGCTCTACTTTTAATCACATTAGTGTCTCTTCTCTCACCATCTAACTCGAAGAAAACTTTCTGCCTATCACCACATCCTCTTTGGTTGTTAATCATAGAAACTTCGAATTAGACTAAATCAGGATATCTATTGATAAAACGATTTCAGTCAGCGTGACAGATAGGAGAGGTCAGCTTTGATCGAATATCAATTTCGTTTTTCTGCCGGTTACCTTGAAGGACGGGATTCATCTGTTGGTGGGGATTTATCTTCCCGCAAACCTTATCGCTTTCTTTGTAACTCGCTGATATACGAAAATTATTGTAAGAGTGTCACGCTTGATGGATATTTGTCTGCCCGAAAGTTACAACTTTAACGCAAATACGGTTCACATCGTATACACCATAGGTTCATCATCACTTTCATGCTGTGCAACCCCTTCCCTGTGTATCACATCGAAGTGTCAATCAATACCCGCCTGAAAATTGACCATACGTTGGTATCAACTCTCCTGACCTCGTCCTTACCTTCGATTCAGCTTAGCAATATCGTTCTCAATAGCCGCAAGCTGTGCTTCAAAACTCTCTTTACGCCTGGTTTTCCCAATCGTATCCAGCTTGGTGAGATGCGTCATGCACTAACACAAGCATCATCATCACAGACCATCCCGTCGCCCTTCACCTGATAATCAGCATTGACCTTCTCCCACTTCTTCTTAAGTGCCTCAATTAACTCTAATCTTTCCTCATCAGGCAACGGTCGTATCTAACAACTCTTCCACAAATGTCCTCAGACCTTCCGAAACGCTACCTTGCCCTGCTCCTCCTTCCTCTGTTGGTCCTGTAATTGCCGTATATAGTCGTACCTGAGCGTAGTACCCCAGCAACCATCACTTCAACGACTCACTCTGATTTGATGTCGGCTTTGATCTTCTCCAAATACGCAGGTACTTTCCCTACCAACCACATCAGAGACCCCCAAGACTCGACCCTTACCGTAGTCAGATTTCCTGAGATAGTCCTTGGCCAGCTCCCCATACTCACCGCCTTCCACAGGAGGAGGAGGCGCTTTCAAAATATTGTCTACAGCGTTGGCAGTGATGAAATTCTTACCTAACACGTCACCAGCACCAACAGCCAGCAGAGCAGCATCTCATGCTTACCCGACACCAGATTCATGACGGGTCTCTCACCCGACTTCGGCAAAGCCGGCTTGATCGCGGCGTGTGCCACTGTCGCCTTCAATTTCTCTGGGCTCTTCTTTCGGATCTCCGTCACTGATTTAAAAGTAATTGCCACACACTCCTCCATATGCTTACGAGACTCAATCCTTCTATTCTTATCGAACTTCCTCAGAGGCTTTTTCGGATCAGGTTTGGCCGACCCGACAGGCACTCCAAAGGTGGCGTGCGGTTTATAGTAACTAATTTCACGTCCAACGACATACATCTGAGCTTCAACGCTCCCACATGTGTTCAGTAGGCTTCGGTCTCTCCACCTCCTGCGATCCTGCAACGTTGGATATACCTACATCACAACGAGATGTAGCGGAAATGTGGTATGAACTTTTACCAGGCTTGCTGGTCTGAGCCGTAGTGAATGTACTAGAAGTCGGGGGTATGGTTGCTGAATACTTAGACTTATGTCTCGCCGGCTTTGGCTTCGGCAACTCCGGCTCGATAACCTGCCCGACGCTGCTCCTTCCTACCTTGTGAAGCCCTCAATACTACCAGACCGTACACAGACTCATGAGGACCATCATCATCATCTCCGTCGAGTCTTGGTGGCAGCATTATAAAAATATACGTATACCCTCTTCCGTGTCAAGCCACAACCCTTTCGATTAACAACACCATGCAGTTGCAACTAGTATACGTTGAATTCCGCAACAGACGAGTCGCTGGTCTTTATCAATGTCTTCTACTATACACTCCTTCTGGAGGTAAGCCATACGTGCATCACACCAACTTGTTATACGTTAAACGTGAAAGTAAACACCTCCTTCTCCTCACTCTACTGCTTGCTAGTCTTCTCACACGAGACTGGGCTCGGCAACTCCAAGCCAAATTTCTCGAACTCATGTTGCATCATATCAAAGATGAGCTCATCAATGTGCACTTCAGGTTCCCACCCAAGGCCCTGAAAAAAGCAGGCGGAGCGATGCCGTAAGACAAGACCCGTCCATAACCCACCTCACGAGCCTTAGTAGCATCACCAAGGAGACTCTCCACTTCCGCAGGCCGGAAGTAGCGCTCAGAGACCCGTACCAAGACCCTAGAAGGGTCGGCTGCGTCCACCCCAACCTCCTGCAGACCATGACCACGCCATTCGATGGTGATACCGGCGAGACGAAAGCTGCGTTCCACGAACTCTCGAACCTAAGTTGGGGTATGCTGATGAGAAAATTAAATTTTCGAGCATTTCCAGTGCTGGAGACCCTCACTACTGTCATCTGTTCACCAGTCGCGATGACGTAGTCCACAGGCTCATCCTGTTGGAGCATGAGCCACATGGCTCTGACGTAATCCTTAGCGTGACCCCAGTCTCGTTTGGCGTCCAGGTTACCCAACACCTACAGTGGGTCCAGTCAGGATAGGCTCCAATCCTAGGAGTATACTACCACATCCTTCTGCCGGCCTGCCACGATGGAGGCTACAGCATCGGTGACCTGAATGACGCCTTCAAGTAGGATGGGAGAAGAGGAAGTACCTTCTTGGTCACAAAGGTGCCTCCACGTCTTGGCGACTCATGGTTGAATAGGATGCCATTGCAGGCGAACATACCATAGCTGAGGGAAGACACGGGGTGGACGATAGGCCAGCTACTGATACCACCTCTCTCTGAAGTTCACCACGATCCAATAGGCATACAGCTTGCTAACGCCATAAGGTGAGCGAGGATGGAATGGCGTCTTCTCAGTCTGGGGGGTTTCAGCTACCAGGCCGTACCTACGACGGGAGAACGATGCCCCAAGCGCTTTGATAATACCGTACTTACAGTTCGCTCGTTGAAGCCTGGTAGAACTTACAGTCCTTCTCAAGGCCACATGTCCCTGAGAAATAGCGATGGTGCGGTATTAATTAACATACTCCAGTGTTACTGATCGCCTCGAGGAGCCTCAAAGTCCCGATAGCAACAACGTCACTCGTATACTCCGACATCTCGAACGAAACCTGACAGAAACTCCACCAGGTAGTAGGTACCTCCCTCTCACCTTGACGTGTGACTGAGCGGCGAGATTGTAGATTTCAGTAGGTCTGACTCTGCCCATAACTGAGCAAAGGTTACTGCTGTCGACCTAACATGACACAGACAGGTCGCCGGCAGATAGAGTAACGGTGCTGACCATATCTCCGTAATGCAAATGCAGCCTATCAAAGAGATGATCGATTCTGGAAGTGTTGAAGTGTGAGGACCTTCGGATGATGCCGTGGACCTGCACAGTTACCCTGCACGATGACTCTGGAGGGACTTCACGTTACCTCGTAACCCTTGTCAAGTAGGAGCTCAGCGAGGTAGCTGCCGTCCTGCCCAGTAATGCCCGTAATGAGAGCGACCTTCCGGTTCTCCTTATCAGTAGAGCTACTACGGACGGTGGGGACGACTGGAGTGGTAGAAGGGGATGCACGCATAGAGAAGATGCTTCGAGGGAATCTGGAATCTTCGCTGTGCGCAAAATTTATTTCCTCGACTGTGGCTGGGAGAAAGCCCACACAGCCCCAACTCTACTGTAGAGAAGCTCTAGAATGCCAGTGAGTTACTCACTTCATATATGACGCTTTGGGATGAGTGCTTACGCATAATTAAGAGCTCAAAAGAATCGTCACGCGCCACGAAACTACGCGCACGCCCAAAAATCAGAGGAATCTTTGTTGTGAACTTTCCCCTGGGGCCGTATGCGGATACTGATTCATGAATCTGAGTCCATGATTCAACTCACGCTCTGATCCTGATTCTCGAATCAGCTCAGTGATCCACATATCCTCGCGATGATCCTGATTTCTTGCTCCAGAGTAAAAAATCAGCGAATCATGGGTTATTACTCACCATCTGATTTTTTCATCTGAGTAAATACTCTGACTCACCTGTTGCATCAGGATCCGCATACGGCCCCTGTCCGAGTCTACTGCTCGATACGGCTAAGCTGAATGACTCAACCGTTGTGTGGTAGACCATGTCCGCCAATGCGGTCGATGTGTCTGACCCGGCGTCTACCAAGTTGGATAGAAACGTCGGGAGAAGGAATGCCTGTGTGCAAAAAACGTTTGTCACTAAAATTAGCATATTATCAGCGTAGAGAGGTGGCGAGGCGTCTGACTGGGACCCGACCTTTCAGGCGACAGGGGATACTGTCATGGTTAACACTACTGTACCGTCGAGGCGTCGGTAATTGATGAGGAGGACAGAGGTATCGATGAACTTATAGTAGGCCGCCGAAGAAAATTCATCGGAGCATTTCTCTGGAAAAACACGTGGTGCTGCTAGTAGTGCTACACACAGAGAAAAGGGATGTTAGCAATGACTTGCACCTTGGGACAGAGCGGAAACTGTGTCAGTAACGATGGTTCAATGGACAGCACCTATAGGCTTGAAAGCTTCAGAGCTCTCATGAAGTTGAGTTCAGTATCACCGAAATATTCACCGAGCAAAACGTAATGGGAACTCAGTGTGAATCTCTCGTAGAAGTGCTAGGCTTGCGAACGACCACCTCTTGTCGTATTCATTGACAACAGTTGGCGTTATGGCAATGAGCGGTCCCTACAGAGTTCGAGCCGACTCAGAGCAGTCGAGGGATGTCTACGCCTGTGACCTGGCTCGACCAACAGTGGTGATACCACGACTTACCATTGAGGCGTATGAAGGGAGGGTAAGGGCGTTGGTAGGCACCAGGGCTGTGCTGAGGGACTGCTCTGCCATGATAAGCAGTAATAATGACAACCTGACTCGCTAGTGGGAGCCCTCACTAGGCCTAGCGATCGCCGATGCTGGGGACGGCACTTTTGAGCAACCCTTGAGGTCTCGTCTCTTGCCCATTACTCTCCTTCCAAGACCTTTCCCGAGGGACCTGTAGGTTAGGTGTGGTAGAGGTCAACCTCGGGGAGATATTTCAGATTCAATTACGCCTATCATGCTAGTGCTGTGGTGACCCGGCTGATTGATACAGCTGCTATCGACAGGGTGTGGGTAGAGGATGCGACTCGCAAGGTGATACCACACTTCGCCCACTTCTGCGGTGTGGTACCCCAATAGTCAGGCTCGTGTCCTCAACCAACGACTAGTGGACATTTGGCGAGACGTGTACGTGGTGGGAGGGAGGAAGTATGAGGACCAGATCAGGCTGTAGTGACAAGGGGACCGACGTTGGGTCGGAAAGCAACCCCATGAGAACGTCAGTGGAAATGCACTAGCTTAGTGGAGATTCTCCGTAGCTTTCTCATCCTCGACTATACATTCGATAGGAGGGGACATCGCCTGGTGGGAAAACTCGTTGTCAGTAGACACAGTAAAGTTTTGTCCTGAAAAACTGTCACTTGTAGCTCCTCCGTCACATCTACGAGATAGGCGTACGGAGACTCCAGTGACCTTTCATGCGGATGATCTTAGCGACTGCTACTACCATCACCACAGGTATCTCCTACGAGAAAATTACCTGCGAGGATGCTCCCCTGGTCCCTTGCTCACTTTCAAAGCAGTCTCTGTAACGCCACACCTGGCAACTGCCGCTCAGAAAATTTCTGTGAGATTAAGGGGGACAGCTCATCTGACTAGGATCTCGAATATTGTGTGCAGTGTCTCCATCGGATGACGACGTTAACATCAGCGTTGGACAGAGTTGGTCATTGCGAGCTTCCTGACAACAAGACCGCCAATGAAATCGCTAGTGCCATGGCTGAGGCGGTGAGGCTCTATAATGAGAGGTAAGTCTCGATAAGTCAGCTCTCTGTCGAGCTGCAAACATAGACAGTACTGTGGTTTGAAATGGTCAATAGAGAGCTCTCTATCTCGGGAAGAAACTATGCAGTTCATCAGTGATTTTGACTGCATGTTTGTGCTGAGGTAGACTATGTAGCTATCATAAAATCGTAGGGGAATGTTTGACAACAACCCGGTACTGGTCAAGAGTCTTCTCTTCATTTCTTGTGACTCTTTTTGAGGGAAGGAGAGTAAATTGCTCGCTGTGCATTATAAAGTTGCGACTAGTCTTGGTATTAGATACCACAGAAGTTGTCATAACATTTGCATTGTCGTTGCTGATGACAACAGTAACAGCAGTTGCCTGATAGAGTAAGGCCTGTAGTCCTACCGTTGCCGGGAGCTGTTGCTGATCAGGGCGGCGCTGTTGATGAATCATGCTACAGCTTGTCACAGGAGGACTATGAAGGAGCTCATCAGAGACGTAAAGATCGATGGGGATTCCTCGGTATAGAGCTGTCCCTCTACCTGCTCGATCATTCGCTCATGCCTCCTGCCAGGTTGTGCGACTGGCCGGTCGACTTGAGCCCAGTAGGTCTGTGGAGGTTGCCCTGGTTTACTACGAGGCACTAGAATACGATGCTGATGGTAGTAATGCGAGGGTAGGTCACTGTTCGCATGTGCGGTGTAGATGAAGCCGCCTGGAACCTTCGTGGTAGGCTGGAGAAGAGCATGGCTGTGCAGTGCCCGTCTGTCGTACTGCAGTTGCTTGGTGATGCCTCTACTTTTGAAGAAGTATTGAGAGTGTCGTCGGCTCAGGAAAGTCAGAGTTGCAGCAACAGTGGCGCAGTGACGCGAGTCTTATATCCTCTCTCAAGTGTGTCGACTATGCCCCTGATGACTTGTCGAGGTTTCTGGCGGTAGTGACTCTCATAGTACTCCGTTTTTGGATCGATACCCTCAGGTCCTCCGAGACGACTGTGGGCTTCCAACGCGCCCTACTGCCATACCATGTGTGGCTGTCGATGTAAGCTGTGGCGGGTATGGTCTTTAGGTCTTGGACAGCGCCGTATATTGGGGAACTCCCGTCAAAATGTGAACAAAGTTATCCCTCGAAGTTGATGTTCTTATCGGCGGAACTGTTTTCTTTGATCATTAAATTGCGGTTCTTATTTGCATAGTTGAAATCTCTATTGGAAGCGTAAAATTAAACTGAGTTTTCTCTCTGCTAATATGGTCCTCGTATCGCAACCGAAGTTCCACGCTGATATCTTTACTCGCATATGTGGGATTCTGGTCTCATCCGGCAATAAGATTCCTTAATGGTATGTACCACGGGCATAGTGGTCCCATTTTCCAAATAGATTCCTCAATGGTATTGACCACAGGCATAGTGGCCCCATCCGACAAATAGATCCTTCCGTGGTAAAAACCACAGGCATAGTGACCCCATTTGCCAAATAGATTGCTCAATGGTATAGACCACAGGCATAGTGGCCCCATCCGACAAATAGATCCTTTCATGGTACAGACCACAGGCATAGTGGCCCCAGTCGCCAAATAGGTTCTTCAGTGGTATAGACCACCGGCATAGTGGCCCCATTCGCCAAATAGATTCCTCAATGGTATAGACCACAGGCATAGTGGCCCCATCCGCCAAATACATTCTTGAATGATATAGACCGTGTCACCACCCCTGGTGTCACCATCATCATTCCCCCCGATCAATTATTGGTAAAGTCTTGGTGTGGTAGGTCGATGCCAGCATCAAGGAGGAGTGCCTTGTGAGTAAGGTCGTTGAGGCTACTCAGTCTAACCTGAGTATTTACTCTTGCTTGGTCATGAACGGACGTGAGGTGGCTTTGGAGAGGATAGCTGGGCATGTATTGGAGACTCGAGGGTAGTAGTGGGAGGAGGAAGGAGCTTGTATGGGCTAGAGAGACTGTGTTCTATTCAGCGAAGAGAGCTCGGAGGTCATGGTTGATACGGCTCTGCTGACACCCCATGATGTGATTGAGGACAGTAGTGAGACTGAGTGATTGCCTGTTATAAGTATGAGTTCACCTTAATGATTTCACGACTAATGAACGAGTGGACTTTGTGTCCGTTTTATCGGTTCTCAGCGTCGACACGTTGAGTTTGCTGGGGAAGGGTTGTCAGTGCGGCTACGGTGACGTTAGTCGGTCGACACTATTTTGAGATTGACTGGAGCGCATCCTCAGACTGACGATTAACTTGTTATTAATTCACGTTGTTCCTTATGCCGGAGTCTGTTATCACAACACCACCTTTAAAGAAGTTGACCTCATGGGGGCAGTGGTCCCCTGAGAGGTACGAGCAATCGCTCAAGGCGATGGCTAAGGGTGAGGCCACCCTCAGAGGGTGCGGTGCGATGTTGAGCAGTAGGAAGGGCATCAGGAACTCCAATCGTAGTGAGTGTCTCTGTCAGGTCTGGGTGTAGCGGTCATCCCTGAAAGCGACACTAAACCATTGCAAAGCGCAGTGCTCCCAGTGGCTCTTCTGCCGAGACCATTTCCCGCTCGCCAGTGAGTTCACTGACCTAGTTGGTTGATCATGGACCGCTTCGTGGTTTAGGTTTGAGTCGGCATGGAGACTTGGCAGTGTTATTACTAAGCTCGTTGATAAAATTTCTATTGACCCACAATGGCTGGTGAACAGCCTTGAGGAGGTAGTCGTTTCCGTGCTGTTGTTGTTGATAGCATAACTTCACCGTAGGTGGCCAAAGCTGATGACTTTACGAGGAGGTTGCTAGAAATTTGTCGAGCTGTTTACGTTGATGGAGGGCGAGACCACACTGAAGATATACGGATGTGAAACACAAGCTGCGCTGCCTTGACGAGAAGCTCTTTTCAGTCACCTGATTCGTCACGATTACCTTCCTACTACTGTGGGCGACCGTTTGCTGCAAGTTGAAGTTAATACAGTCTCTGCAGGCTTTGCAGGAATGGGAACTCAGGTTTCGGTAATGTGGGGTAATTTTGTGGCGCAGTGAAAAATTCCCCTATGCTCAGACCTTCCATCGAATGACCGCTTCTGCGGCCTTTGAAGGGTTAAGCCCCACCCAGTTGCCCCCCAGCAAGCCAATCGCTGATTTTGCAGCTGCTATTGCCGAGGCCGTTGCTGCTTACAATGAGAAGTAACGGCAGTTGCCTTTCAGGAGTGTTTGACATAATCGTTTTAGATTCGATCGGTGCTCGCATACTATTTGTATGATGGTTGATGCTCCTGAGGACAACGAGTGCGACCAACGATTTTTAGAGTAACAGCGGACATGTTTCGTATCTTTACCAGGGAACCTCTTGATACAGATCTGTGCTTCTCGCCGACTACGGCATCAACGTCGAGCGTCGCACTATGACCGACCTCGCCGTCGCGGCTGTTGTAGATACCCAGACTGGAGTAAGCAGCTCTGTGAGCTCATCCAGATTGAGGAATTCGATTCAGGTGGTTTCTATACCCTCTCTATTGAATTCAAAACGGATGGTCGAAATTGCCCTTTTTTATTTCCGGACAGGCTATGGACCCACTCAGTATATTGATGGTGAGAAAAGCATCGTAGTAGTCGAAATTGACGGTGGATTGGTATTGATAGATTCGCACTGGGAGCTTCGTGAAAGATTGGAGAAGAGTAATGCTGTCATGTGCCCATCAGTGCCTCAGCAGCTGACTGGTAGGCGGAGCGAAGCGACTTTTGTTTGCTGATTTTTAGACCGATTGGCTCATTTCAGGCACTAAAAAAGTGCAACAGCTCTGGTACAGCGATCCCAGTGTGATGAGTCGCTTTGGATTGACACGGGAGGAGGCTGATAGGATGCGGGAGCATTTCGCTGTAGGTGTGGTTGTGGTGATGTGGTGATGGAGTGGTACTAGGTACAAGTGGACCCCTCGGAGAACAAGGACACTGTCGCTGCGGCGTTGAAGGATCCGTCGGCCTGGGTAGGGTGATTGATTAGATCGTCGTCATCTACTGGTGTTGGAATATATGTTCGGTTCTCTCAGCTGGTGCTGGGAGTTTTCTCACTGTAGGAGTTTACATAGGACTTCACCAACACATGTGGTTGCCCATGTGGAAATTTCCATCCCCACTCAGGTGTTGAAGCCTCAACGTGAAGGAGGTGGTCATAACATGTACGGCGATGAGCTTGTGGAAGCCCTCACGACGACTTCTGATGAAGACCTGAAGCAGTAGGGCTCCGCATCCTCCTCTTGTGTATGCTGCTATTGGTGATTACTTCAGGTTCGTATTGATGGAGAGAATGCTCCCAGCACCTCTACCCTGCCTAGCTATCGACGTGAGTCTATAAATCACATTCTCCTTCGCATAGACTTATTACCCTCAGGCCCCAGCCAGTCGCGAGGCCTCTAGAGTGGTGCCGAAGATAATCTCCAATGGAGTATCAGAATTGGGTATTTACTCTGCTATGGTCATGAAGGGCAACCACATGGTCATGGACAAACCTTGCGGCCATATGCTCAGGACCAAGGACGTGTAAGAATCTTAGGTTCTCCATCGTATGATTCGAATGAGGTCCCCTTCAGGAACGTAGCCGAGGGTGGCGTTCATGCGGGCTTCTCCGTCATCGATTCGGCACTACTCTTTGAGGGCTCCTTCTAAGAAGACTACTATCGTTTTACCCAAGACGCTGTTGCTCACTGTTCCTCTATGCTCTCAGCATTCCATCCATTGAGTCAGGATTGTTGTAACTGCATCAATTGGGCATTTGTGTAAAAGACACCGCGGTCCTTTCTTGAGGAGATATTTATGCGAACCTATCACTAAATGAGGTTGCCAATTTTTTTCTGTTTGAGTTGTAAAGTAGTGGCCATTGGGAGGGGCTATTAGTGATACCGATATTCGACTTATGAATAACGAGGAAGGCCAGGGGAAACTACCCTGTTGATAATCTCGCTCGCCCTGTTAGTTGGGCTTGCAATTGAGTAGTGATGCATCAAAAGTTGATTTATTCGTTATAATCAAAGCACGTGCTACATACATCTCAAAACTAGTGTCTGAATACAACTTCATTGGGTTTTGAGAACCAAGCGTTTTTCAGGAAGAAAAGTAGTCAACGTGAGCTAATCTGAGACCTTGTCGCGAACATTCGGTTGATTTCCAACGCACATAAATGTTGGATGAGGGGCCCAAACTGAATTGCACATTCTCCCGAAAACAGCTGTACTCATACTAGGTTCGGGGTTGATGACATTGCTCACTCTGATTAATCGATGAATCACCTGCTTTATCTCATTCACTACTTTCTTTGTGTTCTACAACCCCTGCCACTACAACGTGATAACACTGATATGATTTCAAAGGGTGATTCCCTTTGAGCGCAACGAGGATTGGAAACTTCCACACAAGTCAATATCATACGAGCAACAAGTCATGGGCATGTTAGCCGTAGACAAATCCTCGGTCATCATAATAGTGTTTCAAAACTCTCGGGCGTTGAGATTCCATACTCACGAGGACCTACACAGCGAGAGGAAACAGCAGAGGAGGAGCGAACAGGGTTTCTCACATGCTCGATGTTTGCTGGGTCCACTCCCAAATCGCGCAGAGCTTTCTGAGAATCATTCAAGAAACAGTCGAAGAAGAAGTCATTGATCGAAAGGAAAGCGTGGATGTCCTCTATGGATCGGCCGGTATATCCAGCAGGACCACCAAATACCATTGACAAGTACGCGACCTGCGAACAGGCGGGTGAATTAGGAGCGCATGGAGTTGAAAGCAGTGTGATGAAATATACACATGGTCAACTACATGTGTTGGTGGCAATATGAAAATTCTGATAGAATTTTGGGCAATTATTATTATCGGTTTCTGTACACTTCTACCCGAATTCGTATATAAATTCCTATAATTAGTAAGGAAACTCCCGAGCTCAGCTGAGGAAAGCAAACATAAATTCCTCCAACAGCTGAAAGTGTGTTAGAGTGTCCGACAGGATCAATCAGGAATAGCGTGACGGAGTAACAGAAGCTTACCAGTGACGGTTTCATGGCCTTCACTTTGTCACCAACAAAGAACATGCTCACTCGTCTGTCGAGACCGATGACCTCGAATAAGCGGTGAACGAAACCTTCTACCCCTGACATGATCAAAACATGCGAGTAACACAGTACACCGGTGAGTTGACCTTCGGCGCCACCCAGGATGGTGAAAATAAAGTCGTTACCATGCATTTGCCCTTGTCGTCGGGCCACCTCAGTTCGAACCTGCACGGTTGTGCTAGCTTGCTTCAACCACATGGAGATCCCTCACTGAACAGCCCGTGGTGATGTCGGAGCGGACCATATTCATGACCTGTAAAGCGTCGTCGATAGCGTCTCCGTCGAGTTCCATTGACCTAGCTGCGAGATAGATGTGACTAAAACCATAGCTCTCACTTCATGACTTCTTGAGCGAGCTGTAAGACAGCATCAAAGTGATAGTCTCTGATGTCCATAGCATAGTGAGCAGGCTTCAGGTTGGCCACGTCGTATTGAACTGGTCCACCTGGACACACGACCGAGTCAAGACTAGACTACGTAGTGAGCATACCAAAGAGCCCGCTGAGGAGCTGGTACATCTTCATTCTGACTTGTCTGGCTTTGGCCTTCCCCTTGTCGAAGAAGTATCTACTCACCCTGTGTTCACAGTGGATACATCTAGCTCCGTTCACTTCGTTCTTGTGTCCTCCTGGCACCTTTCATACAAGCTCTCCACAACACTTTCCAGGTTGAGGTCACCACCCAAGCGCTCTATGAGAGCCTGACCAACCACGTTCGAATAATCGCGGCTATCGACGTCTTACCACGCCGTCCTTGTGCGCTAGCTGTGTCACATTGCTCTCTTTCCGGCCTAGTACGCCCTGTCGCAAGGGCTCAACAGTTACAATAACCTCAAGGCAGAAATATATGCCGCTTGGAGCTGGCGGGAGTCACACCTCGTCAATGAGTTGCTCATCCGCTCCGGCTCCCATCAAAGCCTTTTGTAGGTCAGCAAGAAATGCATCGAAATGATAGTCGTTCAATCCGACATCTCGATGGATGTTCGCAATCTCACGACCTGATACGATACGAAGCTGATCCCAGGAGCCAGGGAAGCGCTCAGCGCCCACCTTGGTAGGTCTTCGGGCCACCCCAGGTCTCAATGAGAACCGTCGCGATCCCTTTTTTGATAGAGTTAACTTTCGTTTCTGTCCTGTTCGCGAAGAAGTCATTTACTCTCGTATCAGCTAACAGCACGCCGAAGAGCTTGTCAATGAGAGCAATGATCCCGTCGCTCTCGCCCAACTTCTTGAATAGCTGGTCTCGGCCTTTTTCTAGATTCCGCTTTGCCAGTTCGCTGCGCAATGTGAACCCTGTTGTAACCAGCCTCCTTACTGGCTGTAAGGCTTTGAGGAAATCTCGGACAATTGGTCTGTCGATACTGTCTCCAGTTAGACAGCCTCTGAAGAGTTCAAGGATCGCATCGAAGTGGAAGTTGGTGATGTTGATAGCGTAATGTGCTGGTTGAAGGTCGGCTTCATCATACTTGATAGGACCACCGACCAAGCCACAAACGTACTGCGACATCTTTTTCTTAATCGACTGTATTTTTGCTTTGTTTTTCTCGAAAAATGACCGCAGACGAGTATCAACGATAGCCTGTTCGTATACTCGGTTAACTAGATTCGTTATGGCCTGAAATGGAGTGCATACAAGAAGGTGCAACACAATTGATTTCAAAATTTATCAGTCAGTTTGGCCGAGTGGTCTAAGGCGCCAGACTCAAGTTCTGGTGGAGAGATCCGCGTGGGTTCGAACCCCACAGCTGACACATTTTATTCTCGTTCCCTAAATCCTTACTGTTTCACCACCCAATATCTCAAATAATGTTTTCTTATTGGCAAGTGTCAGCATTTTCCGCACATCGTGATCCCTCGCATTGGAGTTAATGATGGATGCCCGACTTGCTTCCAAGAGGACGACACCTGACGAAGTTCCCATCGAATCGGCAACTGATGGTGAACATGATGTGACGGTCTCCATCTCCACTTCATTATAAAAAGCACAAAATTCATGGTATGACTCAGATCCATGCTTGCTTACACTCGTCACTAGCCTCTTCATCCAGTCCGGCTTCCACGAATGATTGAGCGCATGCGTGTATGAAGCAATCAAAGTGGAAGTCACTAATTTGTATGAGGCTATGGACTTGGCCTATGTCTCGACCGGTATACCTGAGAATAGCCGTAAAGTAGACCATGGTGAAAACAGAGCGAGCAGATGATCAGACCGCACGTAGATGGTAGACTACTCGTCAACTCCACCGAAAATCTGATCAAGGTACAGACTGAGCTTCTCCTTGATGATATCCGTCTTAGAGCCCGCGAAGAAATATGATATGCGTGGATCAGCATGCAAACGTCTAAGAACCATAATATGGAGAGAGTTCGGTGACCTCAAGCTACTTGAAGAGCTTGTTGACAAACTCAACGATGCCGTCCTTTCTTCCGAGCTGTGAGTAGAGACTGGCTGTTCCGGCACTCTCCGTTTTACGATGGGCAATTTCGAGACGAATAGTGCCTATGCCCGAGTGAAAGTCATTTCATGTGATAGAAAGGCTAACTCACATCCACTGGTGATTTCCTGGCGCAATTTCTCAATCGTTTCCATGAGCTCATCGGTGAATGCAGGTGTGATGTCTGTCACTTCACACGAGACTCGTAAATTTTCACACAACGCGTCGAAATGGAAGTCAGTTATGTTATGGTGAAAATGGGCCGGTTTCAATCTCGCAATTTCGTACAACTTTGGGCCTCCGCTGGCTCCTACGAGGAGCTGAACTAAGCGGATTTTTATCTGTCGTATTCGAGAAGCGTCCAAGTGGAAAAAGAACTTAACTCGAGGGTCGGACTGGAGTGCGCTGAACATCGTATCGACGACAGCTTCGATAGTCATTTCTCCACCAATTCGATCGAGAAGGTTCTTTCCATCCACAATACGCGCACCGGACTCGAATTTTTTCTTTTGCCCAGACAAGATGCTCGCTCGCTGAGGCTCCAGGATGACGATGACCTCATCCACTGTGTCATCATCTACGCCAACACTTGACAGAGTGCGTTCAATGTCCATCAAAAAAGCGTCGAAGTGGAAGTCGTTGAGCTCCAACGGACGATGTATAGCAGAGAGATTCTTTCCCTTGTACGTCAGGGGACCGCCCAAGACATCAGAAAAATAATAGAGCAGTCCTTCTTGGAGTGTCTCGATGTCTCGGTCCTCGAACGCCCATGAGATGCGCCGGTCCAGAGAGATGATGTCTATCAAACGCTCTATGAAAGGAACTAAGTCGTTGTTGTCTCCTATAAGTTTCTCGTAGAGAGCATCCAAGCCTCGCTCGTTGGCGCGCCGAGCGACTTCGGCTCGGACTGTGAATCCGGAAGTCACCTCGCGACGAGTCTGAGTTGGTGATTAATGAGATGATGATGGTCTCACACTGTTCACTCCTAGCGCGCGCCGAATTGGAATATATGTTCGCTTCCCTCAGCTACTGAGCTCAGGAGTTTCCTTACTAATTATACACGAACTCGGGTGGAAATATAGCCAAACCAACGAGAATTCCAGGAAAATTTTCTCAGAATTTTCATATTGTAGTTGACCATGTGTGTATTCTCCCACACAGAGCGCCCGGACTGAAATCAGAGCCTCCGTACCTTTCTCAAGAGATGGCCCACTTCTCCAGTTACCGCTGGATGAACTCCAACCTGATGTGAGACCAACTACTGGTTATGATAGAACGATGATGATGGAGTATAAACCCACCTCGTTGAATGCCGCAATGAATAGCTCGACGACAATATCAAAATGCATGTCCGTGATGTTGAGATAGTAGTGTGCGGGTTTAAGCGCTGCGATATCATAGCTGTAGGGCCCGCCGAGAGTTCTGAGGCGGATGGCTTTCGAGGAGGTTCGAGACAATGAGTTTCAGAAAGGTAATCATCAACATCGAGCAAGATGATCTATTGAAGCAACAGAAAGCAGCTTGGCGCAGTGGATAGCGTGTTGGGCTCATAACCCAAAGGTCCCTTGATCGAAACAAGGAGCTGCTATTTTTCCCCAAAAAAATCCTGACGCATTCGAGACATTTGAAGAACGACAACGTATTCAGTCTGATTTAGGCTCGACCATGTCAGCAATAGCCGAGCAATTCTACAGATACGCCACAAGTGGGACAGCAGGACTAACAAACCCTTGAAGAGCATCCCACAGCGAATTTCACCGTAAACCCGTCTCACGCAGCGAGGAATCCTTGCAATTTCAGCTTCAAATGTTTAATTTTACGAGAGTTCTTTTCGAAAAATGCTCGAGTTCGGGGCTCGGCCAAGGCTTTATCTGCACACAAAACGAAGAACTTGAAGGCTCCTCAATAATTCATCTCCATCTAGATTTACCATAGAAATTAGCAACGACAGCCTCGAGTTTCCGATCACCGCCAGCCCTTTCGAAAAGCGATCTCGACTTGTCGTCCTGTCCGATCCTCCTCCTCACTTGAGCAGCTTTCTGAGTGGAAAGTCAGTTCTCTTGATGAACATTTCTCAAGGAATAGGGAACGAGCTGAAACATGTATTGGCGTACTTGGTGTTGCTTTTCCTCTTGGGCGGAAGCGGCGTCACGAACCATAGCCTTAAACCTGACTTGAAAGGAATCACCAGGTTTATCAATCGTGATGAGCTTTCAAGTGAAGCAATAGCGCCCTATCGTCCAGATAAACGACTCTTATATGACCAAGTCTTGATTGCTTTCTACGGGTCAGAATGATTTGCGGATGGAGTGGTACTCACTTGGACAGATCTTGAGATATCTTTTCCAGAGCGATCCCGACGATTCCGGAATTCAGCGACACTGAGAGCGCTTTCTCCTTTTGTGTAACGCCATTTGACTCGACGTTTTTCACGAGGTCGTCTTCTAATACGTCCATCCTCTTCATAACGTCTTGAAGGCGATCTTTTACGACTACAGACAGAACAACCGAGCTCACCCGGTTCTCCCAATTCCGAGATGACAATTCAGCGCGATTTCTCATGTCAGTGTCTTGAACTTGATTCTAATATAAAGTCTACTCTACTTCAAAGAGAGTGGTTGTTTCCTGATGGTGAGTTTGCGGGTAATCGATTCGATCGCGACACAATTACAAGTGGTTACATTATCCATTGAGATTTATTTCTTATTGTTACCTCCGATTTCAGACTGAGACTTTTCAACCGCCGTGAGAAGAACATTGATGTCGGTCATTACAACTGTGGCCGCGGCAAGAAATTCCTCAGTAGTCCGTTCGGCGTGTCCAAACACTGTCACTAAACTTTGTGTCCTAAATCACTAAATCTCAGCGCGCGCCCTCATAGTCGATATAAAGCGCGACTTCGTTTCAACGGCGTTAGGGAAACAGATGAACCAAAAACCCGGAGGGAAGCAACTTCCTTCAACTCCTTACTGTTCTTCTGTACTCTACCGAGGAGATGGTCCGCACGTCACTCTCCATTGCTGGTTATTCAGGATGTTCACTGTAACCTTTTTCAACTCAACTATTGTCAATGGTCTGCCTCACCGCACTCACGATCCACCTGCGCGGATCGTATGAGAGGGTGATAAGCTTTACGCTTGTAATGCCCGGCAATAAAGTTTGAATTGAATTGAATTGAATTGAACTTCCTTCAAGCAAGTTTACGAAGAGGGTTCAGCGGGCCAGGCGGATCTGTCTCAAGTCCATGTCTCATTGGGAAAACTCGACACTCGTTTTGTGAGCTACATTTTGATTCACCTTCCAAGTTTTTCGAGCTGCGAAACCCAACACTATATCATTGATGCATGCAGATCACTATACTTCGAACAGTATGACTCAGTGAAGATCACTTATTAATGATGCTGATGGGCTTCTCGAGCTTCGGTCGACCACAGGAGTGGTGGAATGTTTGAGCCTCAAACTTTGAGGTACTTGCACTTGATTGCTCAACTTGGGGACTTGTCAGCGAAACTTTTGACCAGAATTATTGAGTGGAAAGTGAATTCATCGATGCATTACGAGTTGAGTTGTTGGTTTTGCGGGTTGACAGAGAAGTAATCGGTTCTAAGCCTCTGATTATTAGATGATAAAAGTTTCTTGGCATCCACGGCAGTGCATTTTTCCGGCGAAAGAAGCACGGTTACCGTGCCACGGTAGGTTAATGGAAGACTGAGTACCGATGCCAGACCTCTCGAAGACGTTTTCTCTGACGTGTCGTTAACCCTGTTGGATCTTTGTGGAACCTGGCAAGTAGTAGCAAATGATATAACCTCCGTCTCAAGTCTTGACACGCGAGATTTTTCACCCACTTAATCGAACAACTGTTCAGCCAGCTTTCGTTGATACCATTCGCGTGGAGGAAGGTTTGAGCAGTCTCTCCGACGTAGGCGTGCCTCTCTCTCTTCTCGTCAAAAGATAACCACTTACGCTGACGGAGGGGAATCCAGCGGTAGCGGGTAGTAATAGCAGGATCATACCTCATGCGGGAAAGGCCAGCACGGCATATAATAATAGCGGTTAGTCGGGTTATATGTTTGTCTATCCATACACCTGAAAACGGTGTGAAGGATGTTCTTTTTCTTAACCTTAGGCGCGCATAAACCGATCACAGGGGCGCGCGTCTAATTTAGTGATTTAGGACACAAAGTTTAGTGACACGGTTTGTTTGCGCCAGTCCGTTCGGCGTATGACAATCTTATATCTCTTGGACTCACTTGGATTTCCTCAACGCTTCACGCACGGCGCGAGATCGTCATAACTCAATACTCAAAAGACTTTTGCGTTCTCTCTCTGCGGGCTCTGTTTATTTGTTCGGCTGTTGATGAACGTTTCACTTGTGACTCGTGTCAGACTTCGTGTATAGTAATTATACACGTCGATATTAGAAAACAGAATTATACTATAATTCTGTTTCCACAAAAAAAATCTTGCATCTTACTCTGTAATGATGCTCATTTACTCAGAGTGTGGAAAAATGGAAATAAATGTTCACCAAAAAATGTGATACTCTCGTAATACTAGGTCTTCGTGACGAAGGGGCGGAGCTCACTTCGTCCACGTCTTTTGATTGGACAGGTTAGATAGACTCTCATAATACTTTACATTTTGGAGGTCCCTGTGTTGGGGGAATGAATGTTTGCTTTCCGCGGCTGAATGCAGAAATTTCCTAATTGTAGGAGTTTACATAGAAATTTGAGTGTGAATGTACGGAAACCAACAAGATTTTGCTCAATTTTCCTCAGAATTTCCTCAAAAGTCACCTACACATGCAGTTGACTATGTGCATATTTTCCCACCGAAAATTAATGTTGCTGAAATGTATTATAATTTTTGCTAATTCCTTTTTCACGGTATTCTCAGAAAGAGCGGCGTTCAGCTTTGCAGCCTCCTTTATTTGTAGTTGTATTTGTGTGTGAGTAAAAAACTGTCCCCTCGGAAAAACGTGGTTCGTGTGCATATGATTTCTCCAGAATTCGGAAGGATACCTCTTGCGTGGTTTCAGCCTACTAACATCCAAATGGCCCGTCACGTAGTGTATATGTTCTCGTAGTGTTAGGGCAATATATGTTCGCTTTCCTCACCTGAGCTCGCGGAGTTTCCTCACTAATTATAAAAGTTTACATACAAACCGGGATAAGAAATTTCCGCAGAATTTTCATATTTTCACATGTAGTTGACCATGTGCATATTTTCCCTACACTGGTGTCGGTCACAATGACCTATTGCATTCTAGGGTTAGTTGTCCACAGTCTACGACAGCTAATAAGGGTTAACTAGTTAACACAAGTTAAATACCGATACGGAGGGCGCGTCACACAGTGCCTCTCCGTCACACATGTGTATATTTTACCTTTCCTGTTGTCCAGTGCTGCAAAAAAAGGTTCGCCCTCCTCAGCTACGCTCATTATTTTCCTCACTAGTCATAGGATTTTATATACAAATTGGAAGAATATATACGATAACTGTAGAGAAACTAACAAGGAATCCCCAAAATTTCCTCAGAATTTTCATATTGTCACCAACACATGTGGTTGACCATGCGTAAATTTTACCAACACTGCTGTTGATCATAATTACATATTGCAGTCTAAGGTAAGTCGTCTACAGTACTAGAGCTAGCGTTCTGGGGAAAAACAGAGTCATCCGAGCAGTTTCCTTTGAGGATAGTCAAAACCCTTTTAAACTAGCAGCACTAAGGCGTTACTATTGGAGTTTCACCACCCTAGTGATATGAAAAACACTAGTGAAAAACATATTCCACGACCACTGCATAGCGTTTTTTTACCGATTCACGTAAAACAGGTGAAACTCCATTAAATTTGTGATGTCTTTAATTCTCCTTGGAAGATTCAAAGTAGTTTTTCCATCGATGCCTTGGTTCACGCACGTACCCCATCGAGTGTTTCAAATCACGGCTAAGTTGTATGCAGAGGAGCTCGTTGCGATTCTATTATTTTTCTCGATGGTTCTCTGGTTGCCCTTTTTGCGCTATGTGAGTTTATGCGCATCGATCGGCTGTTATAGATGTCTTCTGTCAGGTGTTGGGGAATGCAGGCTTATTTTGGTGGCTTATTGTTGGGAGTGTTGGCTCATTTGGATGCATAGTTGTGTTTGAAATGTAGTAGTGCAGTGGCTTCATGATGGCGATTAATCTTGTTTAGGGCGATTCTGCGAAATCCTCGTTTCATGGTGAAGTCCGCGAGCGATGGTCCGTCGATTTTGGAGCCGCCCGAGTACAAAAAGTGAGGAAATTATGGTATGAATAATAAAGAATGAAATGCCTTGTGGAGGTACGGAGCTCCTCGGCAAGTCGGGCGCGAAGTGCGTGTTGATGGAAAGCAGTTTCGAGATTCCGAGGGGAGGAGAGTGCATTTGAGAGGCATAAATGTTGGAGGAATGTCGAAGGTCCCCTATGGTCACATACCACATTTCTTTCACTTCGTATTTGAGAAGTTTCAGGAACTACGACCAACGAACCGGACATTCCGTATGGCGCGGGAGTGACCTTTGTCGGGAGGCCCTTCCCTTTAGCCGAGGCAGAGGTTCATCTGGCTCGACTGCGCGCCTGGGGACTCACCTTTGTGAGTGTGGAGTATTCCCGGTGTTGGTGATATCAACGACGTGTAGTTACGATTGGTTGTTACGTGGGAAGCCCTGGAGCCTCACAGGCCGGACGAATACGATGAGGAATATATAGAGTATATTGTGAAACTAGTGAGGAAGTGCCGAGAGTAATATTATCAGTCGGTTGTGGTGACACGGGTGTGACACTATGACGGTTTCTTAGTGGTAATGTTGTCGTAACCAAATCTACATCTACATGCATTAGCTCGGGTGGCTACAGAGAATTGGTGTAGTCGTCTTTTTCTGCATGCTATATTTTTTAGTTTTTTTTGGTGATGAGAATGGGTATTACTAGGTTTGGAGTATATTGGAGTTTCCCCCGTTTTACGTGAAGTGGCGTGAAACTCGGTGAGAAAGGCGATATTCGCAGCCTGTAGTGGTCGTAACACTAGTGTTTTTCCATATCACTAGGGTGGTGAAACTCCATTGCATGTGTGTTAGATCGTCAGTGATTGTAGCACTCATCGGAGTTGATCACATTCATGCATTGTGATTGCACTTCATTGGAAACAGTCTTTGTCAGGTTTGGCATCAGTGTTGTCATAGATCCTCACCAAGACGTAGGTTATGATGGAATTTATGGTATGAGTAGCTCCCTTGCAGGCCTGGTCTCGGTGGACTGGGGGGGACGGCGCGCCACGGTGGACTCTGGAGAAAATTGGTTTGGATGCGGACAAGTTGTCAGCAGCTGGGATTGCAGTCTTGCATGAGGCCAACTTGAATGATGAAGCAGGAGACCCGGAAAGGTGAGAAGGGTGGAGAGAAAAGGCTCGTAGGTTGCAGTGTGGAAATTCTGAGGAAATTTTACGAAATTCTCGTTGGTGTCTGTACATTTCTACCCTAGTTTGCATGTGAACTTCAATTGGTAGTGAGGAAACTCCTGAGCTCCGCTGAGGAGAGAGAATATATATGCCTGCTCCAACACTGTATAGGAAACTCCTGAGCTCAGCTGAGGAAAGCGAACATATATTCCTCCAACACTGTATAGGAAACTCCTGAGCTCAGCTGAGGAAAGCGAACATATATTCCTCCAACACTGTATAGGAAACTCCTGAGCTCAGCTGAGGAAAACAAACATATATTCCCCCAACACTGTATAGGAAACTCCTGAGCTCAGCTGAGGAAAGAGAACATATATTCTTCCAACACTGTATAGGAAACTCCTGAGCTCAGCTGAGGAAAGAGAACATATATTCCTCCAACACTGTATAGGAAACTCCTGAGCTCAGCTGAGGAAAACAAACATATATTCCTCCAACACTGTATAGGAAACTCCTGAGCTCAGCTGAGGAAAGAGAACATATATTCTTCCAACACTGTATAGGAAACTCCTGAGCTCAGCTGAGGAAAACAAACATATATTCCTCCAACACTTGTAGGTTCTATCCGCATATGGTGTGGCCGACCAACAACTTTATGTTTGCAGCAGCAACTATGTGGGCGATTTTCTTTGCTGGTGAAGATTATGCGCCCAATACTAAGATTGGTGAGTATCTTGAGGTTGAGCGAGGAAGATACGGAATAGGTTGATGTGTTACAGGTGATGAGAATGCTGGTGAGTATCTTCGTCGTCATTACTACGGTGCTGTGAGCGCCTTAGCGGAGGCGCTCAAAGACGAGGCAAACGTACTGGGCTTTGAGACTATGAATGAACCTAACATGGGGTGGATCGGTCGGGATCTTGGCCTTGATAAGTAGGACGGAAATGCTCAGTTGTAGAAGTATGGAGGTTTCTGATTAGGTACGACTCGTCTCAGCCGCTCGGCTATCTGGCGAGCCCGTGGGAAAGCATGCAGTTGGCTAATGGGAAGTCTATCACTGTTGCTAAATATGGAGAAGCGTATAAATATCTCGGGCATTATGTAGGGTGATTCGATACCGTGGTGGAGTTGATCGTTTGTTGTATGCAGACGCTGAATAAGGAGCATGTTAGGGCGTTCCTGCCGGGCTATAGAGATCCGTGGTATGATAATGGAGTTTGGGATTATGATTGTGAGGGGAAGATGCGCCTGTTGAAGAAGGGGTATTTTGACATGAAGACTAAGGAAGATTTTCAAGGTGGCAACTTGCGTGCTGAGTGGGTGTGGACTCTTGGGAGCTCTTATATCTCTTCAGCTCGGTACATGCGGCCTTTTTGGAAGGGAGTAACTGAAGCGGTGCGAAGGAGAATGCCAGACGCTATTATTTTCATGGGTGGGCGAAGTTATTGCGTGTTTGCTGAGAGTTTCGTATGTGCAAGGCCCGGCGCTCGACATGGAGAAGCCAAGGCTGCACGTGGCGTCTTTCGAGGACGCACCGTCGGAGACACGCGTGGTGTGGGCGCCACACTGGTGAGGTTGAGGGTAGTGTTGAAGAGAGTGGTCAGTGGTCAGGTACGATGGGCTTACTTTCCAATTTTGTATATACCGTACGTGGGCTGCGATGAGGGTGTCGGAAGAAGGAATGCATGTAGGTCCATTGGATGTGCTTTCAGTGTGACGTGGTGTTTGTTTGGTAGCTGGTGGTGGGTCCAGACGTCGCTGAACGAGTCCATAAGGAGTCGTTAGCGAGAGTGGCTCATAGTGGTGATCAGGTTGGACCTACTATGTTGGGGGAATCTGGTGTGCATTGGTGTGGCAGCTACGGTAGGAGCTGAGAGTTGGGAAAGGAGTGGTATGTATTTTCTTTCGGTCAGCGGCTACTGACATGGCTTTGAATGATGGTATGCGGGCTATTGAAAGTAGTCTTATACCAGCGGTGACGATATGGAATTATGCACCTGACAATAATGAGGAAGATAAGGTGAGGAGTGTGGGTAGTCATGATACAGGTTCGAGACTTGGTGTGCTGTGGGTGTGTAGCTCAGTGGTAGAGCGGCTGACTGCAGATCAGCAGGTCCTCGGTTCAAATCCGGGCGCGCCCTTTTTTCACCAATCACAAGCGATTGGAATATTCGCAATCCTTCGCCCTTCAGGATGGGTGGAATAAAGAAGACCTGTCGATCTTTACGAGTGAACCGAATCCCCGGCTAGACAGCAACGGCGGGCCCCATCTGAGGATGCCGTCTGCAGTCAGGCCATATCCTTTTAAGTACTTACTTCCTCGTTATCGCATTTTCGCTTCGTATCAGTCAGAGTTAGTCGTCGCATTCAGGTTGGCTGGCAAGCCATTGGAAGTGCGCTTCGCTGGATTGAGTTCTGATAAGACCTTTATTCTTCGATTCGAGACGGATCCGAAATGCAGTAGAAATATATGGGCGTCACTTTTCAATGTAGTGCTGGTTTTTCAGCATCTCATGTGTCTGAAATATTCGTCCCTCTGTGCATTCACTATCAAGAAGGCGTTGAAGTGGAAGTAAGTCATTTTCTTATTGATGCCGCTGAGTAATACCATCAGTAGGTCTCTGATGGGAGCTGGAAGATTGACGCTCCTAATCAGACTTTGTACTACACTCATGATTCCAATGTAATATGATAGGCTAGTCGAGTTGTTGTGTGGACGCCATCCTCCCTGAGTAGGTCCGCACGCATACGTTACGTCTGTGTCGGTCAACGACGAGAGTGTCAGTTCGTAGCACGGAGATTGGCCTGGGGACGACCACGAATGGGAAGAAATAGATCTAGAGAAGTCAATTTATAAGACCTTCGAAGAAGGCCGCTCTGTTCAGGCATCTTTAGCCACTGTATAGTCGTATTGTGTGCCGTAGGCACGGTAGTTGTGAACGAGCAGTGTTTTTCTCAAGCTTCCTTTTTCCGTCACGTTTGAGTTCCTCAATAAAGGTCGTAATGGGAGGGAAGCGGGAAGGTGAAAATTCTACCATCATTCGAGGCGTGTTAACTAACCTGTTGGTGTATTATGGAGAGCAACTCAGTTTGTCTGTGCTTCCTCATTGGCTGAACGGGATGGGCACGCAGATTCGGACAACGCTAGATCCGAACTTCCAAGAAGAGCTGGACCAGTCTCCACTAGCGCCTGATGATATCAGCAGGGCCGTAGCGATGTTTGTGGAGGAACGGGTAGAAGTGGGGATTAACGCTCGTTTTCTGAGAATGAGCTTATGAGGAGGAGTAGGAGGGAGAGTGGGTTAGGTTTTCACGTTACAGCAGCTCGGCCGACTGCCAGAGAAGGAGTTCGAGGGGCTCATGAACGAGCAACAGCCGAGACTACAAAGGGGAATCAAAGTGATCCTGAAAGACCTTTGGTTGAGCTGGCATAAATGGGTAGTGTATATGGAGAGGCGTGGAGGGATATTAAGTAGTTGTGCGTAGGCCGAGCAGAAGCTGAAGGAAGAGGAGCTTGCACAGAAAGAGCGCATAAGGGAGGTTGGTTGGGTCGCAATGTGTGTGGGAAAGTATGCATATGGTCAACTAGCACATGTGTTGGTGGCAATAAGAAATCCTTGTTGGTTTGTGTACACTTCTACCAGAATTCGCATGTAAACTTCAGCTGAAAAAAGCGAAGATATATTCCATTAACACTTGTCGCAATGTGAGGTGGAATTACTTTGTTCTTAGGAGGAAAAGTTGAAGAGGCTGAAAGAGAAGGAGGAGATGAAGGTGGCCAAGTGACGAGGTGTTTGCTATGAAGCTTGTTGTCAGTTACAAGCAGCTGATATGAAGAGAAGAATGCAGGAAGAGGCACGTCAACAGAAGCAGCTGGTAGTATGTGTGGGGGGGAGGGTGGGTTGTTGGGAGTAAACGATAGGAACAGTGGGGAGAAAATATGCACATGTTCAACTACATGTGTTGTTGACAATATGTACATGTACATTTTCATTCGAATTCGTATAAAAACTCCTATAATTAGCGAGGAAACTCTCGAGGTCAGCTGAGGGAAGCAAATATATATTCCTCCGTCACTGAGTAGGAGAGAGAGCGGCTCAGAGAGCAGGAGCGGCTGGCAAGGGAGAAGGCCAGGGTAGAGGAAAAGTTGGCACGGCAAGCTGCTAAGGAGAAAGCAAAGGAAGAGGAAAGACTGAGGAAGGAAGTAGTTGATGGGCCCGGGGGAATGTGGAGGTGTAGCGTGTTACTTAGGAGGAGAAAAATCGGAAGCAAAAAGAGAGGGCGAGTTCTGTGAAGGTGGGTGGGATGTTGATACCAGAATCGGAAAAATATAGCAAAAAATATCGGAAAATATCGGGAATTATCGGAAAGTATCGGAGAATACCAAAAAATATCGGAAATTACCGGAAAATACCGGAAAATACCGGAAAATATAGGAAAATTTCGGTAAATATCGGTAAATATCGGTAAATATCGGGAAATATCGGAAAATGTCGGGAAATATCGGAAAATATCAGGAAATAAGGTAAAATACCAGAATATATCGGAAAATTACGGAGAATACCGGGAAATTGATACCAAAAAGTGGACGAATCGTGATCTTAGGGCCAAGGAAGGAATGCTTCGGTTGCCTCATCGGGAGGGGGCCGGCGGCAGAGCTTCGTAAGGTGTTGGGAATGTGACGGGTCGGTGGGTAGTCGTGTGAAATTCATGTTAGAGTTTATAGACATAGCAGATTGATGATGTTAAAATATAATGGAGTTTCACCCTAGTGATATGAAAAACATATTTTACGACTAGTACAGGCCGCGAATATCGCGTTTTTCACCGAGGTGAAACTGTCCAATGAATAGCTGATTGTATATATATAGTGGAGTTTCACCAGTTTTACGTGAAGTGGCGTAATACTCGGTGAAAAACGCGATATTCGCGGTGATATGCAGTGGTCGTGAAGTACATATATTTTCGCGCATCAATGTAAACTGCAACTACACAAAAAGTAATCTCGTATGATGGAGTTTCACCCTAGTGATATGAAAAACATATTGCACGACTACTGCATAGCGCACTGAATATCGCGTTTTTCACGGAGTTTTACGCCACTTCAAGTGAAACGGTATATATTAGTGACATTATGTGTTGCGGTAGATCTCTTCGTTTCTCATCGTCGCTGATGGAGACGTGGCCTCTTCTGGGAAGGACTCGGGCCCGACTGCGAAGAGTAGGGAACAGAGTGGTATCGCGTAGTTGTGGCTGAGCTGTCGGCTTAGTTGAGGAGGTTGTCGGGTGTGCTGAACCAAGCTTGGAGGGCTGGAAAGGTTATTGGAGAAAAGCGAGGAGAAAATTCAACGGGATGGAGTGGGAGAAATGGCGTAGGTCTTGGATTGGTTTGCGGTGAAGTGGCGCAAAAAAACGATATTCGCGGTGATATGCAGTGGTCGTGAAATATATTTTCGCTAGTGTTTTTCATAGAAGGAGTTATAAGGACTAATTTACAATGGAGTTTCACCCTAGTGATGTGAAAAACACTAGTGAAAACATATTTCACGACTACTACAGGCGTTTTTCACCGAGTTTTACGCCACTTCACGTAAAACGGATGAAACTCCAGTAATTCTTCAAATTTATATCTTACCAATATCATTAAGATGTCGAGCATCCAGTTGAGCAAGCCGCATTGATGATCTCTCTAAATTCCCAGCTGGGCTCGACTGGATTAGTGGGAAGTGCGGTATGGCCGTCGGTGTTGCAGATTCTCGTCGCTTTGTATCGGCGAGGAAGAGTGGTGGCGAAGGATCGCAGACTGCTATTGAGGAGGCGAATGATGTGATAGCCCCATCAGAGGTTGACACGAAGGGTGTCACCACAGCGGTCTATGCTTATGGTGATGCACTGTAGTTGCGACTTGCCCACGAGCGTTACTCAGGCGCGGGCAAATCGGCGGAGTCGAGGGAGCGGTATGGCGGGAGAAGGAAACCTCGGTGTGTGCTTGTGGACCTGGACGAACGGGAAAGGCCGCCTGTGCAGCTGGTGAGGGTGGGAGGTCGTCAGTGTTGGAAAATATGTTGGTGGCAAGTTGTGAAATTTTGGGAAATTTTTATTGATTTCTGTTCATTTATTGGTAGTGTTGGAGGAATATGTGTTCGCTTTTATCGGAAGTCTGCTCACTCGCTGTGAAAATTTATATTCGAATTCGAGTAGAAGTGTGCAGCAGAGTGTCCTAAGAAGTTTCATAGTGTCACCAACACATGTAGTTGACCATGTGCATATTTTCACCGCACACTGTTTCTAGCCGGGTTTTTTATGAAAACTCCTAAGCTCAGCTGAAGAGAGAGAATGTATATTCCTTTTCGGTGGTCAGATTATGAGCTGCGAGTCTAAGGCTGTATCAGGGCGCCATCCATTTGGGAAAGACGCTGCTATTGATTATGAGATGGATAGGTGAGATTATGCGTATGATCGTTGGGAGGCTGTTTGGAGTGTAGCGACGCTGAGTGGGCAGAGCTGGCTGAAGGGGAGGACTTGGGAGAGGATGATGACGTTAGTGAAGACGAGGAGACGGCGAGTGACGCTGATGTGAGTTAGTGGGGTCTGTATGGCATTGAGAAATTGCGGAGCGAGCGGAGCATATACCGCAACAACAGGCAGCACTTTCGCGTTGTGCGTGCGTGCAGAATTATTCTGGTTTAACTATGGGAAGCTAGCAGATAAATCAAACGACTCCTCTGAATGCCGAGGTGTTGGGAAAATCGGTAAACGCGATTATACGAACAGCTCGACGAGATATGCACAAAAAACTTCAACGATTGAAAAATGACCTACCCGGGGATCGAACCGGGGACCTATGTAAAATTCATTGATTGAGTCCATGGACGTGGACTAAGTGAGCTCCGCCCCTTCGTTACGAAGAACTTGTTTGATAACGATGGGGAAAATGATGTTCCTAATGTGATGATGACATTTACATGGGAAACTGATTGAAGAATGTATACCTAGCCATGTGGGAAATTCAAAATAGACTTCCTCCTCGGGAACATTATAGGTTTCTGGACGATTCTCTGTTGGTGATTGCGGTTTAGTCGTGTGTGGTTTCTGATGGGAAACTGAGTGCTGATGAGATGTCGGAGGACGAGGAGTGTGCTGCGGCAGAGAGGGAATTAATAAAAAAGAAAACAAAAAAGGTGGGAGGGGTTGGTAATGATGGTTTTGAAGGAATATATGTTTGTTTTCCTCAACTGAGCTCAGGAGTTTCCTACACAGTGTTGGAGGAATATATGTTCGCTTTCCTCAGCTGAGCTCAGGAGTTTCCTATACAGTGTTGGAGGAATATATGTTCGCTTTCCTCAGCTGAGCTCAGGAGTTTCCTATACAGTGTTGGAGGAATATATGTTTTCTTTCCTCAGCTGAGCTCAGGAGTTTCCTATACAGTGTTGGAGGAATATATGTTTGTTCTTCTCAGCTGAGCTCAGGAGTTTCCTATACAGTGTTGGAGGAATATATGTTCGCTTTCCTCAGCTGAGTTCAGGAGTTTCCTATATAGTGTTGGAGGAATATATGTTTGTTCTCCTCAGCTGAGCTCAGGAGTTTCCATAATAATCATGCAATTCGGGTATAGAAACGAACAATAATTTTCTCAAAATTTCCACATTCCAACGCATGTAGTTGTCCATGTGCATATACTCCTCTCATACTGGTTTTCGATCCGGTCTTTTTTCAGCGTCGGTCCGCGGACGTCTTGGCGACGGTTTGCATATCCCTCGGGGAAATTGATGGCTTAGAGTGGCCTCCTCCTGGTGGTGCTTCTGCTGTCCTTACGTCACTCCGCGAGACGGTAATTAGCGACTTTACAGTTGACACGCTTGATCAAAGTGAGTGTAGCTGTTGGTCTTTTTTTTCATTTCGGGAGAGTGGCATACAGGGATTGTTGGAAAATGTGCATATGTTGGTGACAATGTGGAAATTTCGGGAAATTCTCAAAAATTTCCGGTACATTTCTTCCCGGCTGAGAAAAGCGAACATATTTTTAACACTGCATGCAGGTTTGCTGGACGCCCCCGGGGAAGACGATCCAAAGCCAACTGCCCAGTCAGCAGCGTCGAGCCAGCGAGGACCTCAGCAGGGTGGAGGTGTTTCGGGAGAAGGGCCGATGAGATCCCCGTCGGGCAGCGATACTGGACGACCTAGTGACTCCGATGCGTAAGGGGTTACTGTTGAGTTGTTGATTTTTGTCATTGATTTTTGATAGAAACGGCGGAGCGAAGTCTCACCAGCAGCGAAAAAAGGTGGGTTGAGGGAGATGCGGAGTAGATGGATTAGTGACAGGTCTGGACTGACGTCAAGCTGAGGCGAAAGTTGGCCAAATTTGTGCACGCAAGCGCAATGTCGTTGGGGAAGCTGAAGCAAGGCTTTGAGGAGCAGTAAGGGTCGCTGTCGGTGTTGGTGAAAATTTGCACATGGGTTGGTGACAATATGGTGATTCTGAAGAAATTTGGAGGAAATTCCCAATGGTTTATGTACACTTGTAGTCGAATTCGTATGGAAACTCCTATAGGTAGTGAGGAAACTCCCGAGCTCAGCTGAGGAAAGCGAACATATATTGCAAAACTGATGTTGGAGGATTTTATGTCTGCTTTCCTTAGCTGAGTTAATTATAGAAGTTTATATACGAATTCGAGTAGAAGTGTACAGATATTGCCGAAATTTCCTCGGAATTTTCATGTGCATATTTTCCACACTGTTTGCCATGGTCGTAGTAACGGTAGTAGAAATGCCCCATGCAGACACCCACAGTGCGCTGGCTGTGGTACGGCAGCGCAGATCAAACGAGTCGCCAAGTATGAACGACGCGGCGCGAACTCTTGCATGGCTTGGTGGATAACCGAGGAGGCGATTAAAGAAGTAGGGGGGGGGGGGGTCGTGTTGGAATGTATGTTCGCTTTCCCTCAGCTGAGATCGCTAATTCGGGTAGAAGTGTACAGCAACTAAGAAGAATTTTTCAAATTTTCCTGTACAAAATTCATATGGAGTTGACGATGTGCATATTTTCCCACGCTGCTTTTCGCCTCAGCTGAAACTTCAACCGAAGACTATGGAGAATCTGGCTGAGAAAAGGAGTTGGTCACTGACTCGGGTAGCTATTGAGAACTGAAGTGCAACTGTGGGCATATTTTGTCCTCAGAATGGGCCTGGGACTCGAAAGCGCCGTTTGAAGCCGGAGCAACCGCCTCCTCCGACCAACCGAGAGACAGCTAATTCGAGGAGTGGTGAAGGGGACGATGAATCTGCAGGAGCCGGTGGGAGTGGAAGTGATGGTGATGGCTGTGGAGGAGTTTCTGATGGGAATAAGCAAGGTAAGGGTTTGTATCAGTGTGGTAGAATTTGCACTTTGTGAACCACATGTGTTGGTGACAATATGATGGTTGTGGGGAAATTTTGGGAAATTCCTGCTGGTTTTTGTACACTTCTATCCGAATTCGTATATAAACTCTTATTGTTAGTGAGGAAACTCATGAGCTCAGCTGAGGAAAGAGAATGTATATTCCTCCAACACTGTATAGGAAACTTCTGAGCTCAGCTGAGGAAAGAGAATGTATATTCCGACATTTGTTCATTTGCGGATGAGGTCTCCTTCTATGATGTGTGCAGATGCTAAGCGAATGCGACGAATCACTGACTACTTCCCGGTGCAGCCTCCTCCTGTTGTTGTAAAGGAGACCTCAGAGGAGGCTGTGCCGAATTGTCCAGTTCAGGTGAGTTCATGGAGTGTATTTGTAGCTGTAGTTTGACAGTGTTGCAGGATAATATTGCTACTGCTACTACTACGCCTCCCGTGGAAGGGCCTCAGCTGTCGACAGTAGAAGCTGAGCCACTGTGATGCTGTAATTGATTCGGAGCGTCTGCTCAAGAGAGTGTATGAACTCGCTTGAGGAGATGCTCGCCCGTACGTTATGACTAGTGCTATGCTAATTGTACCTATTTCTAACGTAGGAAAAAAACTGCAATGACCGATGCAAAGTAAATTTTCAATGGTCAACTTCTTGAGTTCACTGAATGTCGGCTTGGGTTAGTCGAACGAGTCGACTTGTCAAGCTTGTGACAGACTGGTAACGAGTTGGCGGATGACGTCAGTGAGAATGCCGCGGCTGAAAGGGGATCGAGATTGGTGACGGTTTGCTAGGGCGATTTCAACGAGGTGGATGTGAGTTCTTCGCAGTGTTGGGGAACGTATGTTCGCTTTCCTCAGCTGAGCTTAGGAGTTTCTTCACCAAGTATAGAAGTTTACATATGATTCTGGCTGGATGTGTTCAGGAATCAATGAAGTACTCTCCCACACCTCACATCTATAACGGCAGTATCGCATGTACGCAAAGCACACGTAGATTGAGCAGTGCATAATAACCATCGCGCAGACGGATCCACTCTGTGTCGCACTAGTTTTTTCACCCGGACCTGCTCTATCCCCACTGGGCACTCGCCAGAATCTACATGCCTGCGTCTACGTGGCTCCAAATCCCGAAAGAGGTCTCCATCTTAACCGACTCGTTCCATAACGATAGACTCTACCGTGTCTGCCGTTTCTGTGCTCACCGAGTGACCCTACGCAACGGCCAATCAAAAGCGCCTCCACCAAGCGAAGCCATGTGTGCCCTGGCTACCCGGTTCTACAAGATCGACTTCAAAGATGAACTCACCAATACCCGTCTACCCAAGGTTTTATGTGACGGTTGCAAGAGGCGACTGTGCCGTTTACGCGATAACGAGGTTGAGCAGACGGAGTGGGAGGAGCACAAAAGGTTTTATGTGAGCGGAACCTTTTGGCACTACGAGCCCGTTAAGACGAGGGGCACGGTTATATGTTCGGCCGAGAATCGTTGCAAGGTGTGTTGTATTTACGCAGAGAAGAAGTCCAACACTCTACAGAAAAAGCATTCTGCTGCACCACAGAAAGGACGGCCACTACAACAGTCACCTCCTAGGCCGTGTGCTCAAATGCGGCCAGTATATGGATAGCGAGCACGATCTCGTACGTGCGATAGTGTGAAAAA